GATTACACGGACTTAAACAAAGCTTGTCCGAAAGATAGTTACCCGCTTCTAAAGATCGACCACCTGGTCGACTCAACAGCCGATCACGCTCTGATGAGTTATATGGATGCCTATTCCGGTTTCCATCATATATCTTTGTGGAAGAAAGACCAAGAAAAGACGGCTTTTGTCACAGATCAAGGTTTATACTGTTACACGGTGATGCCGTTTGGGTTGAAAAATGCGCCTGCTACCTTTCAACGAATGATAAACTCGGTCTTTTATGATCAAATTGGGAGAAATGTTGAGGCATACATTGATGACATGATAGTCAATTCCAAGTTGCAGGCGGATCATCTAGTTGACCTCCGAGAAACCTTCACCATCCTCAGGCGGCATAAATTCATGCTTAACCCAAAAAAGTGCGTCTTTGGTGTTGAGTCTGGGATGTTTCTCGGATTTTTGATTGACAAGAGGGACATAGAGGCCAATCCGGACAAAGTACAGGCGGTGATTGACATGCAGTCGCCTCGTACCGTCAGGGAGGCTCAAAAACTTACTGGTTGTTTGGCGGCATTGGGGAGATTCCTCAACCGGTCAGGTGACAAGTGCTTCTACTTTTTTCAAGCAATCAAAAAGAGGTCAAGATTTGAATGGGGTGAAGAGGCTGAGGCGGCATTTCTGAAACAACACTTGCATTCTTTGCCAAAATTAGTGAGTCCCCTACCCCAGGAGGCTCTCTATATGTACTTAGCCGTCTCAGATCTTTCCCTAAGTGCCGTTCTCCTTGCTGAGAGAGACGACAATCAGCTCTCGGTCTACTTCATAAGCCATGTCCTCCGGAATGCTGAACTTTGCTATCCCATGAGTGAAAAATTTGGTCTAGCCTTGTACAAAGCAGTCAAGCGGCTGAAACCTTATTTCCTGGCTCATCCGGTTACAATCTATACTGATCAGCCGCTCAAACGGCCTATGACCACTTTAGAGTCATCCAAAAGAATGATTAAATGGGCCGTGGAGATTCAAAGCCTGGAAATCACTTTTGAACCTAGGCGGGCAGTGAAGGGTCAGGCGTTTGCCGACTTCATTGTTGAAATGACAAGGCCGGTACAGCCGGATAATACTAATCAAGTTTGGAAAGTATACGTAGACGGGAGCTCTACTATGAACGGTTGTGGGGCAGGCGTAATTTGTCATTCCCAAGAGGGGGACAAATACGAGTATGCTCTACGAGTCAAGTTTCAAGCTTCAAATAATGAAGCAGAGTACGAGGCCCTGCTAGCCGGTATCCGCATGTGTAAGGCAGCCGGGGCAAGGAAGGTGAACGCCTGCTTTGATTCTCAACTCATCGTTAGCCAATACCATGGTGACTATGAAGCCACTCATCCGGTCATGATTAAGTATCTTCAGGTGGTCAAGGAAGAAGCCAGGGCATTTGACGAATTTAATTTAAGTCAAGTACCCAGGTCTGAGAATAATCAAGTGGATGCATTATCTAAACTGGCGTCATCCGCCACTTGTGATACGCCTAGGTGAGTCTTCTGAGAAGTCCTGGAAAAGAAAAGCATTGAACATGATCCCATTGGAATTCTAGATCGAAGCTCTACCTGGATGGATCCCATTCGGGACTACTTGGTAGACGGCACTCTGCCGGGTTTCTCTTTAGAAGCGGCTGCTCTCAAGAGACGAGCATCGCGTTTTGTCATGCATAAGGGTGAACTCTTCCGAAAGGGTTACCTACAGCCGTTATTCAAGTGTGTACCCCTAGAAAGGGGAAAGGAAGTACTAGAAGACCTTCATGCCGGCTTATGTGGATCACACATAGGCGGCAAGATTCTTGCAAAGAAGGCCAGGCGGCAAGGATACTTTTGGCCAACTCTTAAGGCAGATGCACTAGATCTGGTAAAGAGATGTGACAAATGCCAAAGGTTTGGCCGGCTAATCCGTCAGCCAGCTACTGACCTAACGGCCATCTACAACCTTATTCCGTTTGCCAAATGGGGCATGGATATTTTGTGGCCATACACACCTGCCCCAGGCGGAAGAAGATACATTTTAGTAGCCGTTGATTACTTCACAAAGTGGGTTGAGGCAGAAGCGGTAAAGGGCATCAAAACTAAGGATGTCATCTCCTTCATCTGGAAAATTATCATCACCCGGTTCGGTGTTCCTATGTCAATGGTCTTTGATAATGGTCCGTAATTTGAAACGCCTGTCCTCAAAACTTGGTTGCAAGACCAAGGAATTTCACATTATTTTGCATTCGTAGGCCGTCCCCAGGCAAACGGTCAAGTAGAAGCTTTTAACAAGCTCATCTCAGGCGGAATCAAGAAAAAGATTGAAAAAGTAGGCGGTCTTTGGGCAGAGGAGTTGACCCATGTTCATTGGTCTGTCAGAATGACTGAGAAGGGGTCAACCGGTGAAACCCCATTTCTTATGGCATACGGCACAGAGCCGGTGCTTCCCATTGAATTGTATGAACCAACACTTCGAATCATGCTATATGATGAAGATGCGAATTGGGAGGCCATGCGTCTGGCTTTAGATTCTCTTCCTGAATAAAGGGGCAATGCCTCCTTACGTCACGAAATCTACCGTCTGAGAATGACGAGAGCTTACAACAAAAGGGTGCGCAAAAGACCCCTTAAAGTAGGAGATTTTGTACTACGTAAGCTTGAAGCAACCGGTAGGGCGAATGAGCAAGGGAAGTTAACTCCTAATTGGGAAGGACCTTACCGGATTTTTGAAGAAGTTAGAAATGGCACTTACCGCCTAGAAACCCCAGACGGAATGTAGCTACCTCGCACTTGGAACGTAGATAACTTGAAAAAGTACTACTTCTAAGGAATTTGTAATTTTCGTAAATAGTATTGAAATGTGAAAGCATATAATTTCCATTCATCCAATTGTATTAGCACCTGTCTAGTGCAAAAACACAGACGGAATAACACTTATAAAAAATCACTGCTCCAAAAAGTGCAGTCATCCGGCGACACCCATCCGGGTGAAATCGTTGAAGAGGACAGCTCCCTTCCGGGTGGTACATTGTCCTGGCGGTCATAAAACACAAACGACATTACTAACACATCATTGAAAGTAACAAACAACCGTTCGAAATGATCCATTGCATCTAGGATTCAGCCGGCATAGACCCAAAAGTGGTCCATGCGGCAAATATCAAAATCCTAGTAAAAACACCAACCGGTTTTTGCAACAATGCATTGGACACGGTTAGGTATTCCGGATAAACACATTTAAAAAGAATGATGTACTCCAAGTATAATATGGGTTAGGACAACCGGGCCTTATCCAAAGGATCCCCAGACGGTTATACCACCCATCCGGTTGCCTATGAAACAGTTGCTTGTTTACCAGTGAAGTAAACAAACAACCATTTCAGGGGAATTTTTATTGTAGTAGCCGATATATTGTAGATCAATAATCGTTACCCATCCGGCAGCCTATGAACCGGTCGCCTATGAAATGGCTACTTGTCTACTGTTGGTAAACAAACCAACCATTTCAGGGGCATCTTATCATACCATCCGGTATATTGCAAAATCTACAATCATACCATCCGGTGTATTGTAGATCAAACAATCATTACCCATCCGGCTATATATGAAACGGCTACTTGTCTACTGTTGGAGTAAACAAGCAACCATTTCAGAGGCATCTAATTGTATTAGCCGGTATGAGTAGAGGATACTTGTAATACTTGTAAAAATTGCAAAAAAGTTTAAATTTGCAAGTAAAAGATAAATATAGATAGCAAAACCGACTGAGTCGGCTAGTAGATTAAAATTTTTAAATGTTAACCGAACCCATGTCCGGGGAAAGTACATAGAGATTACACGGCTCGCAGGCCGGTAAAAGAAGAAGAATGTTCATGATTAAAGAAGATTGTTTATGATTGATGTTGCTGCTGAGGTTGCTGATCCTCCAGTTGCTGAGTTGGGACTTCAGCCGACTGCACAACAGTTGTTTCCGGCTGGTTTTCACTCTGGGTCTCCTGATTCTCTCTATATTCTGTTCGACCCACTCCTCAAAAGGGGGAGGAGGGTCAGAACCGAGTACCTTAGCCTCATATACTTCAGAAGCATACAGGTACCGGAGATTGAAGTACTCGAACTCGTAGTCCGGATGAATGAGACTCCAAGCCAGCTTCATGCGCTCCTTGCAGTCGGCCTCATTCTCTTCTATCAGGCGGACTTGCTCCTTTTCCAGCTTTTCTTTATGAGCCGCCTGATTCGAAGCAAGCTCAATCTTCAGCCGACTGACGTCCTTGCGAAGATCAGCATTTTCTTTATCAGCATTTTCCAGAGCTTTAAGATCAGTTTGAAGGTCTTTGACCTTCATCTCAAGCTCATCATCTCTCTTCATTGCAGCCTTCCCAGCCGCAACTGCTTGTCTTAGTGCTTCCTCCTGTTCCAACGCCTTTCGTTTAGTTTCCTAATCAAATGAAATGGCATTGAATTGGCAGACGTCAATTAGCTCAGATGCACTTCTCTGAGAGTCTCTTACCTCCTTCTGCTTTTTGTGCAAGGGGACATTAAGCCCATCCACTCTCAGCATCACCTGTGATATCAGCCGAGAAGAGTGTTAGGAAAGTCATGACAAAACATTTGCATCCGATAAATAAAGATCATTGCTCAAGCATAGGTCATCCGGTTTAATTACCTCAGCAAGGAGAGAAGTGATTCGGTCAAGATTGACCGTGTGCACAGCTGGCATAACCTCTTTTTCAGACCAGGTAAGTGCCCGGACCATCCTTTTAGCATATTGTTGATAATTGGGACGGCTAGAGGAGATATCTGCAATCATAGAATCAGCTGTAAGATGCTTGGCATACGCTCCGCCCATACTCAGGCGGCATCCGAAAGAATCCCCGGATTTGCTTGCTTGGGTTTTGACTCTCATATGCCCAAGCGGCCAGAGGGGATCAAAGGCAAAGGTTTTACCTTTTTCGAACTGTGGGGTCAAAGCCCCCCCCCCCCAGCCGCATTTGAGTCCGTACCCGTCTAGGTACGAACAGCCTGTCTTATTTCTTCCACCGCCATTTCGAAGTGGGGAATGGATTGCAGGCTCTTCCTTGCTGTAGTAGGCCTATCCTTGTCAGGCGTTTTCCTCGAACTAGAAGCAGCCGGAGTAGCCACTTTTGGTGCCTTAGAAGCCGACTGAGGTATGTTTCCAGCCGGTCTTTTGTGCATACTCGCTAAAGAGCGAGGAATGACTTGGCTCCCAGCCTGAAATCAGTCAAGTATAATACATCCATTTAAAAATCATTTAATAAGTATAATACATCTGGCAAGGAAAGAATAATAATTCAAAGAAAAATGGCTAAGGAAAGGCAGACTACCCCGGCATTCTTGGCGGCCAGTGCCACCTTCTTTTCTTCAATCTGCTTCTTCCTTAGAAGAAGGGCAGATGTAGCAGGTGTTTTCTTCGGAGGCACCATTCCTTTAGCTACTTCTGCAAAGGGGAAAAATACAGGGTTAAAAATCTAATAAACATATGCATCCGGTAAATATTCGGTCATGCGGCAACCTACCCTTAGTAAACATAGTGCTAAGGTCACAAAGAGACAAGAAGCACTCGTCCTTAAACCAATCCAGATGGGGAACCCAGAATTGGGGGACTATAATTTCACTCCCATCATCTAGTCGGGCTGTTGTCTTAAGAAAGAGGCCTTTTTCCATTATCTGGTCCCAAGCCTCAGCCGACACTTTTGGGAGAGCACATTTCCTACCCAGCAAAGCCGAGTGCTTATTGTATCTACGCTGCCGGTGGTTAAGTTGGAGGGATGGAGAAGAGAGGACATAAAATTTTCTCTTCCCAGTTACTCCATTTGGACGGCTTGTCCAAAGTCATTATATATTCCGGGAGCGTAGTTAAAGTATACCACGCATTCCACCCATCCGGCGCTCTGCTGAGATAGTGCATGTGCGCAAAAGCTTCCCAGCTTGGCCTAACATCCTGCAACTCGCAGGCGGCAATATATCCAAGAATGTTGACCCATGAATTGGGGGTCAACTTCCATACACCCAAGTCATACCCCTTTAGTATGGCTTTTATGCAGTGATGGAGGGGGAACCGGAGGCCGGCTGTGAATGCCGCCTCGTAGCAGCCGAAGTAGTTGTCGGCATTGTCCACGTCGTCGGTCCAAACGACGCTTGCCTTTACAGGCGTGACAACCACTTCCCATTTCTCCCCAACCGGCTTCTTCTTTAAGAAAGCAGGGAGTGTGGCGTTTAAAGTGATCACACCCGTGGCGGACATAGTCATATCGGTTGGATCCCCCTTAGCCGGCCATTTATAGGCCTCCTCGTCAATAGGGGCAGCCTTTTCAGAAGACTCTTCATCAGAGCCGGACTCTTCATCATCCGATCCCTCACCGGATCCCTCACTGGATTCTTCGACATTAGAGCCAGAACTACCCAAAATGCTATCACCCGGTGTGCTGGGTACACCCGGAGAATCTTGAGGAGTATCCTCATTTGGAACTCTCTCAGACGGTTCCGCCGTCTGCTCTTCATTTAAAGGGACAGCCGGATCAACGACTACATCATCGGACTTGTAATCAGGATCTACTTCCGTCCATCTAGTCCGGGCCATTCTGTCCTGCACATGAACAGAAACGATCGGATTCGAAGTAGGTGAAGGTTGTCCCAAGCACCCCCAGACGGCAGTTGCAGTCCTAGACTCAGCCGTCCCTGGTGACCGGCTAACCACTATCGTAGGCTGTGCCGTGTTTATATTGGTGGAGTCCATATCCTAACTCTATATGCACAGCCGAAAAATAAAGGGAAAAGAATTACAAAGGGTACACACGGTACCTTAGAATATGAAGCTTGGTATGTGAAAAATTGGCTTGAAGTCACCTCAGGCAGAGAACTCCACGAATGTGTTTAAAACTGAAAAAGACAAAAGCACAAGTTAGCCGGTTATTCATAAACTCATTCAAAGATACCACAGACGGAATTATCCGCCTGTGGTAGCTAAACGGCTTACTAAACAAATGTGCGAAGTTCAACCCAAGATATCCCAGACGGTATTCAGTGGGTGGGTTCAAAAAGACCCCATGCGGTGCAACACCGGATGGGGAGTTATGATTTAAGAAAGCAAGTTGCTCTCAAAACCCCAGGCGGAGTAAAAGACCGGTTAGGGGATTATGACATTTGTAAAAGCTAGCTAGATTAAATTGTAAAGTTCACTCCATGATACCCTAGACGGTATCAAGTGAATTAGGTCAGAAGTACCCCAGACGGTTTAAGACCGGATGGGGGCTATGAAAAGCACTTGTAAAAAAAAAAAAAAAAAAAAAAACCCATCCGGTATAGATACCGGATGTAGGTGCTGCAAGAAATGTTAAAGGTCATTCAAACACCTCCTAAACGGTAAAATACCGGATGAGGGTATAGTAAGACCTGTTTTAAAGAAGCATGTTCAAAGCAAGACCCAAACGGTGAGTCACCGGATGGGGGTGCATTGAACGCAAATAAAATTTGAAACTAAGGTCATGAAAAAACCAGAATGATGACCCAACCGACATTAAACCGGTTGGGGGTTAAAAATCATTTCTTGGTAAAAACTCAGAAGTACCCCAGGTTGTGTTTCACCGGATGGGGGTGCTTTGAATTTCATGTTATTTAAAAGGGTGTTCTATTCTAAACTTGGAAATGGGTCAAAGACCCCCTAGGCGGCTTACCACCCGGATGGGGAACCATTCAAGAGTCCTCAAAAATAAAGAAGTAAAAGTGAAGGAAGAAAGGGATCCGTTACCTTAGAGAAATTGCAGAAAAACTACTCAACCGGTAGCCGGATGTACTTGATCTCAAAACACCGGATGCAAGAAAACTTGAAGGAAATTAGCAGCCGGTATCAGAGCTCTCTCAAATTTTTTTTGAAAATTATGTATCGTGTGGAGAAGAGAGGGGCAGAAGGCAAAACGGTTCCTTCTGCCCTAGAAATTTGAAAAATAAAAAATGGGAGGGAAAGAGACGAATCGTCTCCTCCCAGGCGTTTGACACCTGTCACAGGTGACACGTGGACATGCCACGTCACACCTGTGAGGGGCAGATGTTTAGGATAAAAATTACCCTAGACACGTGGCCCAATAAAATCTTACCACGTGTCAACATATCAACGGTTAGTAAACAGGCTAATCAGCCTGTGACACATGTCCACCCTTATTGGGAAAACAGAGGCTCAATCCCTCTTTGACACGTGTCCTTGTACCCTAATTGAGGTACAGTTCTCCCCTACTATAAATAGCAGGGGTAGGCCTCATTTATGGGGATCGAAAAAAGATTCCAACAACCAACCAAACACAAAACCCATTGCAAACGCTCTCCAATCGAGAAGCATTTATTGTTCTTATTTCCTCTTCAGAAAGATTCTAACTTAATCTTCGGAGGCGGAACTCCCACCCCCCCAGCCAGAGTCTCCGTTATTTGTGCAGGTACAGGCGAAGGAAGGAGCATACTAGGAAATTGTAACTCTCTCGTAGGACATATAAAAAAACCCCCAAACAATACACACCAAAAACAAAAGAGAGAAGGAGAGGGTACGTGGTTGGCGGCTGCTGGCTGCCGGCTGCTGTTGTTGCCGCCGGTGGTGCATCGGTGGTGGTGGCGGCGTCGGTGGCTGTCGGCGTGAGGGGAGAAGATGAGGGAGAGAGAGAGGAGTGGGGAAGGAGAGGAAAAAGAAGAAGAAAAAGAGAGGGAAAATAAGGGGAAAGAGGAGAGAGAAAATAAAGAGAAAACCTTGGAAATTTTTATCAAATCTGACAATTATGATTTTAGAATGAAAAATCTTGAGGCTTTGAAGTATTTATACTCTCCTTTTAAAATAAAAACTCATAATTACAAAACTGTCATTCCTAAATCCTACTCCTCCTTGACTTCTTTCTTTGGGGCCAACTTGTTGGGCTTTTAAGTGTCCTCAATTCCCCAACAAGTTGATCCAACTATTAAAATAAAGATGACCTAATTCAAAACACTTTTATTGCCTCAATTAATGACTCATATTATTTTATGCACACTTACATAATATTTAAATAATTAATTTCATTTAAAAAATAAAATGAATCATTTTAATTTATAAAATAAATAATTTATATATATAAAAATATTATAAAAATACGTAGTATTACATATTGGTACCTTTTTCTCATAATACTATACATGTATGAGTATTTTGAGTTTACTTGTTTGAGATTTAGTTTGTTTTGATGTTGTCAAACGCCTATTGTAAAAGGGGATTATAACAGCGACACTCGAGCAACTATGTCTCATAGTATGTGAAGCTTAGTAATACAAGAATGGAAATGTCCACCCATTGAAAGATGGGACACGTGTCTTTGTTATTAACAAGGCCTCTTGAAGAGGAAAAAATGTGAAAATGCACGGTTATGCTCAAATGGATTATGGTGTAACCATATCATCCATCTGTACGTACTTGACAGCCAAACTCAGGAATTCTAGAAACACTTCTGAACGGAATAAGGATGACGATGAATCTCACCTTATGTTCATGAAGGGACATTAAGTGACATAGAAAAAGGCAATACACAAAACACACATTTGTCCGGAAGAGCAAGTGGGAAATTGAAGAAGTAACGTTTTTCGGCAAAGTATATAATTCTGATGGATGGTTCAGTTAATTATGGAATTAATTATTTAGTGCAATCAAGTGATCAATATGCT